TATATATATATATGTGTATAAAAATTTTCATTTATCACGTTTCGCTCAAGAGAAAAAGTTACATAATCGTTTATATTCTGCAGAGCTTTATATACAAAACGCTTTTTTAAAAAATTTTTTACAATTTTTTTTTTACTGAATTACGCGACATTGAATTTTTCTGTATCGCTAAACAATCAAATAAATAATAAATAAAGTATTGGTAAAAAATCATCGCAAAAACTTTTTATCTTCTTATTTCTGTAAAATTAAATTTAAAACCGATTAAAAGCATACCCGGTAAAATATTTTTTATACATGTATAAGTATGTATAAACATACATAAACACGCATAAATGTATATAATTATATATGAAATATGTCCATATATGTTCTTTTTTCTTTTGTAAAATTACTGTTTAGTGCAATAGAAATAATAATATAGTAATGTGAAAATAATTAAAGGGATAATTTTCGCATTGTTGTGCTAGACAAAAACAAGTTTGGAAAAATATAAAAAAAATTGCTCATACATAATTATGCATAATTTTATATATAATTATACGTAAATAAATTTTTTACATTTCTTTAAACTTAATTTTTTCTAAAACAAATAGTGCGAAAATTACCTTTTTAATATTTGATTTTTAATATTTTCACGTTACTTATTTCTATTACACTAACAAGTAATTTTATAAAAGAAAAAAGAATATTTAAAGAAAGAATATATAACATGTATGGACATATTTCATATATAATTATATATGTTTATGAATATTTATGCGCGTTTATGTATGTTTATACATATTTATACATATTTATGCATGAAAAATTTATTGATATGTTAAAATACAAATTTTGCGCTTCAAAATGTTTTTTTAATTTTTGCAATGGCATATTTCATTGAATTTCAACGTTATTGATTGTGCAGGTTATTTAGCATTATAATGTCGCGTAATTTAGTCAAGAAAAATCGTAAGAAAATATTTAAAAAAGTATTTTGTAGGTAAAGCTTTGTACTGTTTTGCAAAAGTATTGAACCTTTTGAAAAAAATGTTTTAGAAATCTGCAAACTGTTAACTGTATGTATAAATTTTAAGAAACGAAACAATAATCTTTTGTTAAGATATAAAATTGTAAAGACAAAAATTTTTTTAAAAACGTCAAAAGTGTTTGCTAAAAGTACAAGCTGATCATTCAGCCAGATCTGGTTTAAGGTATTTAATATTAGTTCAGAAGCTGATATTAAAATGGGGCTTTCTTTATTCATAAGAATTATCTTATGTAGCAATATAGATACTAAAATCCCTATTTTCAATAAAAATTATTTATTAAATAACAATGTTAATAACAAAATATAAGCATATTTTGCATTTTTTATTTAAGAAGTGCCCGAAGAAAAAAAATTTTTTATGCATGAATATATATAAACATACATAAACACGGATAAATATTTAGAAACATATATAATTATATATGAAATATGTCCATACATATTCATACATGTATTTTTTTTGTAAAATTACTTTTTAGTGTTAATAGAAATAATAATGGTAACGTAAAAACATTAAAAATAATTAAAAAGGTAATTTTCGTACTATTTGTTTTAGAAAAATTCAAGTTTGAAGAAATGTAAAAAAATTATTTATATATAAAATTATGCACAATTATGTATAAACAATTTTTTACATTTTTTTTACATTTTCCTAAACTTTTTTTTTCTAAAACAAACAGTGCAAAAATTATCCTTTTAATTATATTTTATGTTTTCACATTATTATACTATTATTATTATATTATTATTATACTATTATTATACTATTATTA